CCCCCTAAAAAAAAAAAAAAAAATGTGCAGGTATCTACAGCTGCTGGACATGTATAGCCAGCAAGTAATTCATTATATGATGCTTGTTTTCTTTGAAGTTGGAGTTAATGAACTTTAGTTGATGAATGCAGCAAAAGGGAACCTCTGCCAGCCAATTACACATTTAATACTGCTCAGTTAAAAAGCCATTTTATCTTAGAAACACATTTAATTTTAGGTCCTAATTCATGTCCATATATTTTTAGATATATATATCTATATATCTATATATAGATAGATAGATAGATAGATAGATAGATAGATAGATAGATATAGATATAGATATAATTTTTTTCTTTTTTTAAAGTACACTTGTTTTGAATAGTGGGTACCGGTTAGATTTTTCTACAAGGTTTTAATCTGTGTATAGGGATTTTTTCCTCACTTCCTGTCTAGGTTATGGGTGATCACTTGGGCAAGAAATAAGGGTACATTAGGCAGACATCCAAAAAAACCTGACACACTGTACAAAAATGTTTCTACTGCCGTTTTGTGCCCTTGGGGAGATTTCCCCTTATTTCCCATTCCAGTGACTTGTTATGCAGTCAGGAAGCGAGAAAAAAATCTCACAGAATCTAACCCCTTTCCGCTGCTTTAAAACAATTTTTTGGGTGTTACTTTAAAAGCATACTCAAACCCAAAAACAAATTCTATATGTTGCAGTTTACCAGTCCTTGAATGTGGTGGCTGCATTATATTTCTTTTTGCAGGCTTTTATACCAACCTGATGATGATCCTGCGAAAAACACACCACCAGTTCCTGGGGAGCTTTGCTCACACCTTTACTGTATCTATAGAGGGAGCCATTGTTGCCACCCAGGCTGGATTTTAAACATGTCTGCATTTGTTCATCTCCATTACAGTGCGGTGATGGGATTATTAGTTTACAGAACAAAGACCTGTTTGCTTTGTAACTATTAGCTTACCTGAACTGTTAAGGTTACTGCATTTCTGGCAAGATCACCAGGTATTATTGTACTTTCTGAAAATGTGCTTGGCCTAAAAAAAAAAGCACCAAATGCAGCCACCAAATCCAAAGTGGTAATCTGCAGTATATTACATTTTTGTTCTTGGGTTTAGTTATCCTTTTTGGGTACTTTTTTTTATTTTATTTTTTGTTTTCATTCATTGAAGTAGAACTTTGAAGAAATTGCCTTTTCCTTTCATTTGAGAAAGTGAAACTGCACGCTGCCTAGTATTTCCCATACCAGATGCTTTCTTATCAGCGCAGAAACTCCTTATCTTTTAATTATGCATAGTAAAAAAAAAAGTTGGTATGTCATTATTGGTAATAAAAACAACTATTTTCATTTTCTTTAGGGTTACAGATCCAAGCAGTTTTGCTGTAGTCTCTGCAAATTTTCAACAAGGCTGCTGTCCTCTTTCAAAAGTCATCTGCATCGCTATCATGAAGAAGAAAAAGATCAAGAGATCATGGCGACTTGTCCAAGATGTCCATTTACCTCCTATACAAAAAATGTGGTCAGACACATGCGGATTTTTCACTCAAGCGTTCGAAAAGTCCCATCACCTGGTGCAAACGATGGTCAGAATGCTAGCTGGTCAAAAGATTATCCAAAAGCAGTTCCAATGAAATTTGCTTGTGTAAAGTGTTCTTTTACGGACAGCCTTTATTACACTATAAAGAGGCACGTTCTAACGAGCCACCATAAAAGTGAACTGAAAAATTATTTTGGTGAAAAGTCCGAAGAGGAGCTTAAAGAGACTCTTGGATTAAAAGTTAATCTTGATAATCGATTTTACTGCAAAAAATGCAATTACACAATTCATAACCAGGATGCATTGATGTACCATATCCTGACATCTGACAAGCATAGAGATCTGGAACAGAAGCTGAGAACTGACATCTCTGATGCTGGTCGATCGAGTATAAAAAGGCCATACAAAAAATTTTCAGGCCCGCCTATAGCACTTTCTCCTAAACCAACATTGCCAATCTCCCCGGCTGTGACTCCTCCATGTGCTCAAGATGCAAAGGCGGCTTCTCTTCCTCAAAATGGTCCCAATAAACCACTTCTGGGAGCCTCTACTGCTATTATTTCAAATATAATGCCGTCTATAACTTCTGTTCCTGATCCTGCTGGAGGTTTAGTAAAGACATCGACTACTGTTGCCCCTACTGCTCAAGTGGGATTTGTAACTACTTCTCTTTCTCAAAACCAGACCATTACCCTTCCTCAGTCTATGTTCCTGTCTCCAAGATTTACTCTTAATCAGCCTGTCACTGCGACAATGCTTCCGTCTGCTTGCGGTGTTGGTGGCCAGATAATTACTGGAGCTCAGACCACTGTACGACCAATCAATCAGTCATTAACTGGGGGCCTACTTTCTGTGAACCAGTCAACAATGCTTACATGTCCACGGCCTTTGCAGCCCAATGTAATACAGGTGAATCAAACTGGAAGGCCTACAGTCATCTCTGTGAATCAACCACTGAAGCCAACTAATGTTGCAGGCAATCAGCCTGGTCTTCCTCAAAATACTTTCCTTGCAACACCCATAATAAGGCAGCTCATACCAACAGGAAAACAAGTAAATGGAATACCTACATATACCCTTATAACATTGCCTGTAACTCCATGTGCTATGCCAGCTGTTACTTCACCTGTGAATCCACCAAAAGTGCCTGCACAGCTTTCCCAGCCTGAGAAAGTGTTTCAGGCATCCACCTCTCCAGCCAGTGCACCATCTTCTCCTGTTGTACAGGTGCCACAAAGCACATCACAAAAAACTCCACCTTCAAAACGTACTTCTTCCAATAGCCCAGCTGTTGCTCCAGGTGATATAGACAAGAAGACCAAACAATGGAAAACATGTCCAGTATGCAACGAACTATTCCCTTCAAACGTATACGAAGTTCACATGCAGATTGCGCATATAAAACAGGAAAATAGCCCTAACAGGCCAACAGAATCTGCCACCAGCAATGAAACAAAGCAACCTGTAGTTGCTGCAGCACATGCATCTTTTTTTAAAGTTGTAAAAGAAAAGTCTATTCGATGTGTCACTTGCAAGGTGTTTACTGAAGACAAAGAGGTGTTACATCACCTGCTAATGCATGGTATGGTATGTCTGTACTGCAAAGCTGTTTTTTATGAACTCAGAAATTTTATCTACCACATGAAAATCCTGCATGTAGACCAAAAGAAAATCCATGGAGACTTTGTCAGGAAAGGTATTACAGTATCGTGTGATAATAATGGTACCGCACAGTTTCCTCATTTTGACTTTACCTTCAACGTTTCCAAGGAGGAGCTTGGAGAAAAAGAAATGCACATTGCTGTAGTTACCGGAGCTAATTCTAACACTGCTACTCCCTTGTACGTCAAAATACAAACCTCTCCTGAGAGAAGCATCACAGATAATGAGCAGGGCTCTAAATGTTCTTTTTGTGACCATGTTTTATCCAAGTCAGAATCATTGGAAACTCATTTGAAAGATAGGCACCACATAATGCCAACAATGCATACTATACTTAAATCGCCTGCCTTTAAGTGTATACACTGCTGCGGTGTCTACACTGGTAGTATGACTTTGTCAGCCATTGCACTGCATCTCCAGCGCTGTCGTAATGCTCCTAAAGATAGTATCGCAGCACTAGAGTTGTGTTTAGACAGCAGTGCTAAAGGGCAGTCAAAGGGAGGAACCAATGATTCTACGAAAGGAAAACCAAGTTCTACTGACACTCAGGTTGCATCGAATGATACAAAGATCCAGAAAAACGGTCTAGGTGCTTCACAAGACTTGTCTCCTGTGCTTTCTAAAAGAAGAAGATTGGACTCCAGATCAGAATTTTCTGATTATTCTGCCGATCAAAACGTTAGCATGCTTGTGATGGTACCCGATTCCTTTGCAACTGTATCCCATGAAGCTAAAAAGGAGTTCTTACTCAAGTATTTCCATGTAAAACCTTACCCCAGCAAAAAGGAAATTGAATTGCTGGCACATGTGCTAGACATGTGGAGGAGTGATGTTGCTTCGTTTTTCGGTACAAGGCGATATATATGCATGAAATTTCTCAAAAATCACCAACAGCAAGTATTGCTTGGATTTAAAATGGAGGATCTTAAGCAAGTGAAACATGACATAGAGCTGTCTGATGATTATTGAAGGGTTTGCTAGGCCAATTCAATATGTTAACATTACAGACAATGGCATGTAGATGGTTAGCTTTTCCCATGGCTTACATAACTTCACTTGTAGAAAACAAAGTAACAGAAAACTGGAACTGGTTTACAAATGTTAATCCAAAACACTTGCTTGTCAATCCACTTTTTGTTTGGTGTTTCCTGTGGTGCTCCTGATTTCTGGTCTAATAGTTCCACCAAATTGACCTTTTGTATAAGTTAGTCAGTCTCACAAATTTGTTCCTGTATTCAGCACTATATCCTGACTATGGTTTTTGTATGCTTTTTTTTTTCCCGTTGTATTTTTCACAAACCCAGTTTGTGAATATGTGCTGTATGTTAAAGCTGAGTTGACAGAAGCACATCTAACAAGCAATGTAGGAAGTGGGTGGTCAAATTTTAAGCTGCTCCCCCTTCTTCTTTTTTTTTTTTTTTTTTTTTTTTTTTTTTTAAAAGTTTGGCTTTTATTTTTTATGGGGGACAGTTTTTT